TCCCATCCACATAGAGTATTGCCTTAAACAGATCAATTGTGTTGTGGTTTGTTTTGTGTTTTCTTTTTTCTATCATCAGTTTTATGCATTAATTTATTTTAAACAGTGAGGATTTTCAAAAACATGAAACATTTTACCACTTCCATTGCAGTATTTATCATTGTTACTGGCTGTGTGTAGTATAACAGAATTAATATTAAAAAGCATACGTATGAAAACCAGACTGCCAGACTGTCATTGGAGTGAACTGTGTTGAGAGGGTATAAGCCACACCATCTGCTCTGAGCCCTCAGCAATTGCAGAAACTGAAATTAGGGGGTACTAGCCTTCATGCCATGGCCAATACCAGTTGTTTGGGCCTAGTAGAAGCAGCTGGTGTGGAGGTGTGCTGTATGGCACAGATAAACCTCCCAGGGGCAGCCAGCCCCCAGCCAATATTTGGGAAGTCTTCTCAAGGCAGAAGGACCCAACCCCTGCATCTGGGCTATGCCTCTCCTCCTGACAGTGACAGAAACAGAAGGAGGTGCTGCATCTATACAACATCAATGGATGTGTCATGGGTTTGAGTAGCTGGAGGGGGGCCATAGAGGTAGTTTAGAAGCTGCTAGAAGTTTAACTGTCCTATGAAAAAAAGCCAATGATAGCCAGCTCTAGGTCAATTTCCTGTTGCTGGTCAAGGCTGAGACAATGAAAATGCGCTTTTGTGATAACATATTTAAGAACAGAGGAAGAGAAGGTTTGTTGTGCAGAAGAAATTCCATCCCAGAGAACAGTGGAAGAGAACATGGGATAACAAGCAGACTCCAAGGTCAGAGGAGCAGGAGGGGGGAAGAGAAACCGGAGGGGCCTCCCTCTCCCCCTCCAGCAGGGGGAAGACTGAGAGCCAAGGCCCCTGCCAATAGTGGAAGATCTATGGAGTGCAGAGACCCTCTGCAGTTCATGGAAGAGCACCATGCTGAAACTGGTGGAAGGATAGAACAAAGTCCTGCAGGAAACCTGTGGCCCATGGAGAGGAAAACCCATGCTGAAACAAGTTTTCCCAGGCAGGACTTGTCTGGAATGACCCATGGGGCAGCAGATTGAAGAGAACTGTTGCCCGAGGGGTGGATGGACCCATGGGGAGAGGTCCATCAAAGACTGTCTCCTGTGGGGAGGGACCCCACAGAAGCAGGGGAAGGACTCAGATTCATGACCCCCTGTAGTCTGTGGTGAAGACTATGGTGATGCAGGTTGTCCCCCTGCAGCCTATAGGAGACCATCAGGGTGCAAAGACACCCTCCCCCTCCCCCCGCACCCAATGGAGGAGTAATCCACAAGACAGCAGATTGGCAAGAACTGCTGTCTGAGGGGTGGACTCAAACTGATTACAAAACCCCTTCCCATTCCCCTGCACTGCTGGGGGGAAGAAGGAGAACTTGGAAGAAAGCAGGGCGGGGGGGGGGGGGGGAAGTGTTTGTTTAAGACTATTTCTCACTCTCTTAGTTTTTTCTTGTCAGTAATAAATTTAAGTTTTATTCCCTATGTTGAATCTGCTTTGCCTTTATCTATCCTTATTAATTCCTTACTGGTTTTTTTTCCCCTCTCCTCTGCTACTTTGCAAAGGGAGGGTGAGAAAGCGGCTTGGTGGATATCCTGGCATCTAGCCAGGATCAAACCACCACAGGGTGAAATAACCTTTTCTCCAGCCTTGCAACCATTTCTGCTCCTTAAAGCTGTTGACACAAGAGCCGAGCACTGATTTTAGAGTCCAACATCAGCAGTTGGAAAATCAAGGGACTGCTGGGGACGGGATAGCTATAGGGGGCCACTGGTTCATAGAATCATCAAGTTTGGAAGAGATCTTCAAGATCATCCAGTCCAACCATCAACCTAGCACTACCACTGTAACCTAAACCCTAAACCATATCACCCAGTGCCAGATCTAGACGTCTCTTAAACACCTCATGGGATGGTGACTCCACCACCTCTCTTAGCAACCTATTCCAATGCCTGATCACCCTAACAGTGAAAAAAAATGTCTAATAGCTAATCTGAATCTCCCCTGTCTCAGCTTAAGGCCATTTCCTCTTGTCCTCTCACTGTAGGCATGGCAGAAGAGACTGGCCCCCACCTCACTACAACCTCCTTTCAGGTAGTTGTAGAGAGTGATGAGGTCCCCCCTGAGCATCCGCTTCTCTAGACTAAACAAACCTAGCTCCCTCAGCCATTCCTCATAAGACATGTTTTCTAGACCCTTCACAAGCCATGTTGCCCTTCTCTTGACGCACTCCAGCACCTCAATGTCCCTTTTGAAGTGAGGGGCCCAAAGCTGAAGGCAGTACTGGAGGTGTGGCTTCACCAATTCAGGAGGTACTCACCAGAGTACAGGAGGACAGTCACTTCGCTAGTCCTGCTGGCTACACTATTCTTGATACAGGCCAAGATACCATTTGCCTTCTTGGCCACCTGGGCACACTGCTGGCTCATATCTAACTGGCTGTTGACCAGCATCTCCAAGTCCCTTTCTGGTGAGCAGCTTTCCAGCCACTCTTCCCCCAGCCTGTAGCACTGCATGGGGTTGCTGAAACCCAAGTGCAGGACCCAGCACTTCGCCTTATTGAACCTCATGCAGTTGTCTCATGCTGGAAGCTGACCCAGTGCAGGGTGAGTCTCCTCCAACCAAGAGGTTCAAACCCTATGTCTCTGCAGAGTGATGGTTCCCAGATCTGTGCCCCAGATTGCTCCGAGGCCATGGGGGTAGGGAGGGGGAGGCATCACTGACAACCCTGTGTCCACCCTTCCAACTCAGCCTCCCACTGGCTCCCAGGAGAGGACAAGACTGATGAAGAGCCTGAACCTGGTTCAACAGAGACCAGCAAGGTGTGAAAATCAAAAGCAACTTGTTTTCTTCATTTCAGTGTCACATTAATCATGCTTGTCTGGATGCATTTGGGTGCTCCAGGCTGCCCAGCCCCATCATTCTTTGCAACAAAAAGAGCAGGGCTAGGCAGCCCTTCAGGGGGATGGGTCGGCATCCACCCTGCCAAGATAGACTTGGATCTTCACCAGTCATCCCCAAAATTGTGACAGCAGAGGGGTTGGACTTCTGAGACCCCTCACAAGGCTGGAGCTGGGAGCAGAGCAGGGCTCTGAGTTGGTACTGTGTGACAAGACAAGCCAGAACAGGGTTTCTGCTCGGCTTCTGTCATGGTTTTGTTGGTTCTTGGAAACCAGGCAGGAATTTTTCCCTTCCCCCTGCCCACTGCATGCAGGGATGTTAAGTGAGCACTTAAGGGACACAAAAGAAGTGACTTTCTGGCTAATTGCTCAGAATCTCGTCTCCTAGGAAATGGGGGGATGAGGGGCTCCTCTTTACTTTTTTTCCCTCGTCTCCTGGGAAATGAGAGGAGGAGTTTTGGGCTTGCTGTGGAGGCTGGAACAAGGTCAGAGTGGAGGCTCAGTGTGGTTCTGTTGGCCTCCTTGCTAGCTGCGGATCCTGCTTGGATTTCTCATCAGAGAGGAGCCGTTTTCTGTAAGTTTTTCCCCTTCCCTGTTCCCGTTTGTTTCTTTCCTGGTGGTGGCCCTTGTGCACATCAGGGGGAGAGAGAGGACTGTGTCACACGATTCGACCAGACGAACAGAGTGAGTTTGTTTTTTTTTTTTAATCTGGAGGACTTTTTTTTTTGTTGTTTCTCTCCCCCCCCTTTCTCAGTGTGTGGGGGAGGGGAGGGAAACCCATTTTCTTTTTGTTTCTCCAACACACCCCGGAGGGTGTTACCCCCACATGGCAACGACCAGTGATTCCACAGCGCCCTCTGCTGGCCAGCATAAAGAACTGCAGACTCTGCATCTCCAGTGATCCAACAGCACCACCTGGTGACTGACACAGGACACTTCAAGCTCTTCATCTGCAGTGATCCAATGGCGCCCCCTGTTGACTGTGGTTAGAATTGCACAAAAGGGCACAAACCGAACTGTTTACTTTTTTTCCTTTGCTTGTTTATTGGTATGTTTTGAAGGGGATTATTTGTGGGTATAGGATTATTGTTTGGTTGTTTTACTTGTTTTCTTTCGTTGTTTCTGCCAATACACACATACCTTTTAATAAAGATCTGTTATTTTTCCTTTTCTATAATTTGTTTTCCTTCAGTCAGACCCTCTTAATTTCAGATTTATAATTGCTTAGAGGGAGGAGTTTGGGTCTTTTCTCATAACTCATCCTCAGCAAAACACCTATGTCTCATTTAAACTGGGACAGCTCCCCATCTCAGAGAAAAGCAAACCTGGTTCATGCAAATCCCTCCCTGGCATAACCCAGCTACCTCTGTACTGAGATAGATGAGGATTGCTCACTCCAGTTGCAGAGCCCATCACAGCACTCAGGACAGGAGACCAAACAAACCACACAGGGTCACCTAAATCCAGCTTTTTAATGAAAAAGGGCAGATAAAACAGGCAGTAATTCCCCTGGCTACCCCAGCAGACCAGGCCAGCAGTGCTTGGTGCTGTGCCCTGGGCACTGGCTGCACAGGTGCAGGGCTGTGCTGTGTGCACACAGCTGGGTTGCGGCAGGATTTCCAAGGAGATATAGGACACAGGGGTTGGAAAAACAATTGATTGTTCTGGACCTCCCAAAATAAAATTATCTTGAAACTGTTTCCTACCATTGCTAAGCTAATTGCCTGCAGGAGGGGAGAAAGCCCAGAGCCAGGACAAAGTCAGAAGGATGCAGTTGTGCCCATGGAGTGATCAGGCAGAAATTGTTGCACCCTAACCCAGGGCCTGCTATTCTTTGGAATGCAGCCACAGGACTGACAGCCACCAAATCTCCCTGGTTTCACACTATGACATCACCAATGGCATAAGCAGCACCCCAGCCTGGAAGAGCAGTGGTACCAGGGCCCCATTCCCTTTCCTTAGTGGGCTGGGAGCCTCTAGCTCCATGCAGTGCTGCTGATCCAGTGGGGCACCCCAGGACCCTCCAGGACTCTGAGCGCCCCCATCCCAGTGTGTTGCTGCACATGTTCCTCTTTGCCCCAAAACACAAGACCTCTGTCAGCAGTTATGCTGACTCCTACTGCCTGCTATGCTCTGTCAAAAAGACCATCAAAGAGCAGGCTCCACTGCAGCTCTGGAAAGAAAACAAGTTTGTGACGCAGGTAAATGCTATGGGAGGAGGAAACCTTGGAGTTTCTACCCCAACCTGGTTGTGGATGCTCGGTGTTGGACAGGTGGCATGGGGAAGAGGGGGAAGGAGGGGTCATTCTCCCTGATTAGTAAAGCATTTGAAACCCCACAGCCTGTGCTCACTGGCTTCTTGTCCCCTGGAGCTGCACCCTGCAGGGGCTTAGGGCTTGTGGGGCAGGCAGTCGCTAGTACAAATTCTCATGTCACTCCTTGTCCATCAGTAGGTTTCAGAGTGCTCAGGGGGCAGAATCTTGCTAAGGGGAAACTGAACCAGTGGCAGAGCTCAGCTCGGGGCTGATGCATGACATGGTCATGATGGGGGAGCAGATTGTGTGGCTCTGAGAGCTCCAACACACAGGCATCACTCAGCTCTGACTTGGTGAGGGAATGGGGGTGCTCTGTGCCAGGGGGATTCTGCAGGGGTTGGAGGGGAGATCTGAGCACTGAAACACCTCTCCCAGTCCTGGTCCTGAAGGAATTCCTGAGCCATGGCCTCATTGTGGGGAGATGTCTGTGGTATATTACATGTATACCATGGACATGCAGCAGTCCACACATGGGCTAGCAAGCATGCAGGTTCTGATGCAAAGCACACTGTAAACCAGATCATCTCTTGCAGTCTCATTAGCCTGTGCATTATAATGAGGGAGCCAGCAGAGAGCATGGAGAGGGATGTCACTGCTGTGCAGAGAAAGAAATGGCTCATGCAACCAGGGAATCTGTCTGCCCTGAATGACCCCTAGCCCTCTTGGGTTTTGTCAGCTGTAGGAGATTGGCTTCATCCTGTAACTCCCTTCTCAACCTCTACTGGCCCCATACCTGGTGGCCTCAGTGCACCCAGCCCATCTCCCCCTCTGCAAAGAGCCCAGGTGACTATGGACACCTTGGGTGCAGGAGGAAAGGAGCCATCCTCCATCTCCCAGTTTTGGGTGAGTGTGAAGCTTTGAAGTGGGGGGAATCACGGTGCCAGTACAATCCCCATGATCACCCACTTCAGAGAAGAGGGGCTTGGCACTTGTGGCAGATCTCTGGAGTTAAACCCTGCTCAGTAACCTGTTTCATCATGTGCCCCAACTCCCATGAAGACAGACACTGCTGCATGGCCCCAGGCATCTCTCCCCACTCTAGGGGAGTCTCTATTAACAATGACCCTGGTGCAAAATTTGGTGAACCAAAGTCAGCCTGAACAGCTGATTAGGGTGGAGATGCAGGAGTACTACAGGAATGTCATCAACCCTGTTGTCTGGCCAGGTCTGAAGGTATCGCTGAGGTCCTAACCATTCCCCTCCCAACATCACATAGGCCGGGTAACCATGGGCTATGAAATTTGGGGGCTGACGGTAGTGGAAGCATCTCTGTTCATACCCCCTTTTGCATTGTGTTTCCTCCCCCCCCCCAGTGCTAAAGAGACTTTACTGCAGTCACCCTATCCCCACACTGAAACTGTCCTGTTCCCAGGGATGTCTGCAAGTCCCCAGGTCTCACTCACCCAGTGGCCCCTAAATACCCTGTGGTGATAGGTGCTGCCTGGTGAACACTCCTGGTACACCATAGCCTCCAGTGACCAAGGTCACATGGGCAGGGATAAGTGACCAATGGACTGGAAGCAGTGGATGTCACCTCCATCACAGATCCTCAGCAAGGAGTCTGAGAGCACCATGTCTGACATGCCCTCTGGCCCCATGGCATTGCATTTTGGGCAGAGGGGGAACAGCTCTGGCCATCTCCCCACATCCCTGACACTACAGGACACCTGTGAGATCCTGGATCTGAATCTCACTGAATTATTAATATGGGTCAGAACCAACTCACTGTGAGTGTGTGTGTGCATGTGGGGAAGGGTTGGGCCTGGACCTACAGGAATGTGGTAAGGCCTGCACATAAGGCCTGTGCTGAGGGCACAGGGCAGAGCCAGAAGGTAAGGCCCGCAGCCCACACAGAGCACATGGAATGGTTGAAGGCCTGCAGCCAGCTGTTGGTCAAGATAGAACTGCCTGGTAGCCCCCTCACACCACAGCCCTGCAGCTTGTGACTGGCTACAGCACAACTCACTCTGGCCTCAAGGCCCTGACTGGATATCCTGCCTGGGAGGGAAAACCGAACTCTATAAATACACGAGACTCCATACAGTCTCTCTCTCCTTCCCTCCAGCAGCTTGAACCATGTGAGTCAGTAACACTTTTTTTCCTCCTCTTCTCTCTCTCTCTCTTCCCTCTTCTCTTCTTCCTCTCCAGCCCACACCATGTGAACCATCAAATCTTGTCAGTAACTGTTCTCTCCTCTCTCTCTCTCTCTTTCCTTATTCCTTATTCTCTATTTCCTTATTCCTTTTAATCTGTTTTCTTTTTTTTTCCTCTTGTGGGTAACTTAAAAACCAATGAATTGTGTTTTACTAAAGCTGGTATTTGGATTGTTTTAGTGGGTGTTTCCTGTGGAATGGATCTCTGTCTAAATGTTTTAGTGAAATGCTCTTCTCTTGGTTGTATTTTACTCCTCTAAAACCTTTTTGCCAAAATATCCTATTTTTCTCACTAAATTAAAAAGAAGTTCTCTTAGAGGAGAGTGTCTTTCTTAGAGGACTCTTTCTCTGGAAGCTAATTAGAGGTTATAATGAACCAAAAGGCTTTTTAAAAGTCTTAAATAAAAAATGCAACGGCTCTGGGCAGTTCATAGCTTAATCCGGAGAGTAACAACACCCCTGCCTGTCATTTTTGCATTGCAGAGAAATAAAACACAGTTTTTGTCAATGAGGACAAATACATCACATGGAGAATGGCTTCCTACAATAGCACAGCCTGGAATAAGCACCCCTCCGACCTCTCCCTCCTGCCCAAGGTAGGTCCTGCCCCTTCTGCCCCCTCAAACCAGAGCCACCAGCACCTCAGGCTCTGCAGCAAAAGGGTGTCAATCCTGCAAATGTTTGCCATCACTCCTTGCAGGAGATGAGAATGGAGACCTTCTTGTGCAGCATACCTGTGCCATGCCATCTAAAACCCACCTGTCTCAATTAATCTGGTAACTACCCTCACCCTGCCCTTGTGCTTCAGCTGTAGCTGTGCCTCTGCTATGCCGGTGGCTGTCCAGGTGACAGGCTGGTTGCTCCTCCTTACATTTGTCATCCCTCTGCTTACAGAGGGAGGTGGCCACTGACATGCTGCGCAAGCTGTTCTCACCACTGTCCCTGTAGCCAGTTTTCTGAGTTTAATGAGACTGAAGTGTTTTGATAAGGAGGATAGTTATGAGGAAGACCAAGCTCCTTCCTCTAAGCAATTGCAGCGGCCAAAAAGATACACACACAGGAAGGTTAGCAACCTTATAAACAACCATACATCTTTTATAGTCTTTTCCTCTGTCCACACGTACAGAAGTTATCCTTCATTGGCTGTATGCCTCAGTTCACACGTCCCGGCTCATCTTCTCATAGGTGATCAGTACCAGTCCACACACTTAGCACATCTCAAAACAACACCTGGTATTTACTTCAGTTTTGCTCCTTTTTGCTTAGTCACTCTGACAGTTTACATACTTTTACAACTTCACAACTCAATTTCCCAGCCCAAGATGCCTGCAGTTAAGCTGTTTCCCACAATTCCCCTTTTTTTTTTCTGCTACAAAGGCAGAGTTAATCCTCCTCCTCAGGGCCCTTTGCAGAAAGGATAACAAACACGGTAGTAGCAATGCAACTATTACAAGCACCAGGAGGCAGTAAATACCAAGCTTTACCACTTGTTTGATCCAGGTACTAAGACCCCATCCATTCAACCACCCATCAAAGCAAAAAAATCCTTCATCCTCTGTTATCTTTCTAGTTACCGCATGCAAGTCTGCTATGCTTTTTTATATGGATTGAGAGTGATCTGATAAATTCATGCAATGCATTCCCTCAAAGTCTTGACACCCATGTCTATGTGCTAAAAGCAGAAAATCAATATCAGCCCTATCCTGAAGTGTGGCATGGCATATACTACATCTGTTGCCAATTGGTACAAAACTTGAGAGGTTTTATTTGCTTGCTTGGTTACGCAACAAGCCATTCTATTTAATGTTCCTAATGCTTTAGCTGCTGCTACTCCGGGGGCAAGCACTGAAGAAGCTACAATTTCACCGTGATTCCACAATTGTATGCCATCTTTACAGGCAGGTGTCAATACTAAACTAAGCTTATATTGTGCATGTGTGTGAAGGTGAGTGTGATTTAGTAAAAGTTTCTGAGTTGATGTCAACAGTCCTAGACGGTCGATGGTACAAGGTCCTCCTTTTATTTTTCTGGGAATCCCTGGCCAGGCTCTGTCTCCACATATGAGGAACAGGCCACGAGGCAATTGTCTTGCAATGGCAACTCCTGGAGTGGGCTGTGTTTTATTGCGTCCCAGGTGCCAACACCATGCAGAATTATTTTTGTAAAGGGTTACGCTAGGGGAAACATCTTGTAGGATTGTTTCTTTCAGTGTCTGTGTGTCAAGATTCTTAGCATAACTAAAATAGATACAGTTGTCAGCTGACAAACTCCCCAACATGTCTATTTCCTGGGGTCTAAAGCAACCAGAAGGCTATCGTCCCAGTTATCCCAATTTTCTGTACAATTCTTCATTTTCTTGCAAAAGGCCATCAAGATTCTCTGGGTCCTGGCTATATCTGCAACCGTAAGGCTGGCTTCTCTGCCATTTAGCAGAATCCCCACTAAACAGGTATGAAAAGGCTGCTCAGGTTGTGCAAGTGAGGCACAAAAGGTAGTTTGGTTTAAGGCCTTCATCAAGGTCACCCAGACATTTCTACGGTCCCACAGGGTCAGATGCTGGAGATTCAGATCACTGTTGGTAGGGTTCAGGTCACTTTTGATGGCCACCATGGCCAATAGCAGGATGCACACACCTGTTGGGAACCCACCAAGGTCCAGCATCTGTGGAAACACAAGCATACCCACGTCCCCACGTAATAAGATCCCATGAACCCTCCCAGTCTCATGTCTGAGGGTTGCGGCACCAGTACTCTGGTCTTAAGCTGAAGTTCGTCTCCTGCTCCCTGCAGCGACAAAAAATGTGTTAAGATCACAGGATTTTCTGCATTGGGAGATACTGTGAGGGGGTTTAGCTTGTACACCGCTTTCCATATGCGATTCTGTGGTGTTTCACTGTGCATTTCCCCTTTTTGTTTTTCAAGCATCCATTTGAGCATTTGATGTGTACGCTCAATTATGGCTTGGGCCATAGGGGAATGCAGGATACCTGTAACATGCGAAATGCCCCACTGACTGAGAAAGGTAGCGATCTTTCTGGCAATGCAACCTGGACCATTATAAGTTTTGATTAGATGGGGGACACCTAAAACAGCAAAAGCTTGATGCCAATGAGCAATGATGTCTCTGCTCCTTTCACCAGTATGGACAGAGGCCCACAATGCAACTGGGTGTCAACCGACACATGGACATACTTGAGTCGGCCGAATTCGGCTACATGGGTCATGTCCATCTGCCAAATCTGTAGACTCTGCAAACCACGAGGCTTAACATCTGGAGAGGGTAGAGGTGTAACAATCTCCGCAGGATGCAATATAGTCATTTGCTTCGGAGCTGGTAAGATCAAACTGATGCTGTAAGGCTCTCGCGCCCTGATGGAAGAAAGCATGAGAAGACAATGCCTGCTTCCACTTGTCTGGTACTGGGGCAGCCCATTCAGGGACTGCCAAAGCATCAGCCCTTGCATTACCCTCAAAAATGAATCCAGGCAAACCAGTGTGGCTACGGATGTGTAAAACATAATAGGGTTCGACCCGACACTGGAGTTCATACCAGATAAGTTTTAACACGCGAAATAGTTGTTGGTTATTCATGTCCTTCAATGTGGAATAATCTAGGTGCTTTAGGACACTTGCCACATAGGCAGAGTCAGTCACTAAATTTAGGGCAGTAGACGAAAAGTGTTGAAATGCCATTGCTGCAGCGTGCAATTTTACCAATTGTGGGGACATATCCTCTCGGCCTACTAAGTCATGCCACTGACCCTGCTCCTTCCAGGTCACTACTGCTTTTCCTGTCTTTCCAGAGCCATGAGTAAACATAGTGAGCCCTTCAACCGGGACAGGGGATGCCAGGGATTTGTCCAGCAAACACAGCTCCAGATGGAGTTGCAAAAACTTGTGAGATGGCATATGAAACAAGACTTCTCCTGCAAAGTGCATCAACGCCAATTGAAGATCAGTACTGTTTACCAAACACCATTCTAAGTAATCCTGACGCATGGGCAAAATAATGTTTTGAGGATCTCTGCCACTGAGTTGTAGACAACATTGCTGTCCCTTGGCAACTAGCTCAACAAGGGTGCTCACAGTTTTGCGCTGCTGATGGGGTAAAAAAATCCACTCAATAAAATGTAAGGGGTCTCTCCATTGAGTGTCCCATTGTCCCAACAGACCAACAGGGTGATAAACATTAACCACCACATACAAATTAAGAGAGTGGTTCTATGCAAGGCGATATGCTTTTCTGATCTCTATTGCTCTTTCTACCAAGTGCAGCGAAGTTTTTGCTTGTGCAGTTAGTCTCCTGGGAGAGAGTAAATCACTGTCACCTTAGCAACTGAAATAAAGGAGTCAACTGAGCTGTGGTCAGACCAAGTAAGGGACATATCTAGTTCACAGTTCCCAAAAGGTTCTGTACATCATGTAACATTTTCACCTCATGTAAAATTTGGACTGTGGCTGAATTGTCTGATCCAAAATTTTGACTCCCAAATATTTCCATGGTGCTTGAGACTGCACCTTTTCTGGGGCAATTTGCAGCCCATATGCCTGCAGCGACCATTCCACCACTGGCATAACATGACGCAATTGCAATTGAGTTGGTGCTGCAATCCATGTAATGATAACAGTATACTTGTGGAAACTGTTGCCGGACTCCTGACAATGCTTGCGCTACATACCACTGACAGAGGGTGAGGCTATTCTTCATACCCTGGGGCAGGACAGTCCATTGATAACATTTACAAGGTTCCTGGTTATTGATTGATGGGACGGAGAAGGCAAACTTCTCAACATCCTTAGGATGCAAGGGAATGGTAAAAAAGCAATCTTTCAAATCAATAATTTGGATGTCCCAACCAATTGAAATCATGGTAGGGGAAGGCATGCCAAGTTGCAATGCCCTCATACTTTTGATCACCTGATTTATTTGCCTCAGATCATGGAGAAGCTGCCACTTTCTGGAGTTTTCCTTAATAACAAACACAGGAGTATTCCATGGGCTATGAGAAGGTTCAGTATGACCTTGCTCTAATTGCTCTTTGACCAGCTCATGCAGGGCAAGCAATTTTTCCTGTGTTAGGGGCCACTGGTCTACCCACATGGGAGTTGTAGTCAGCCACTGCAGCTTAAGGGTGGGTCGCTTCATGACCTCACACACAGTGACCCCTAGAAAAAATCCTTTCATTCACTTCCAACAGACACTACTCACATGCTCAGAACATCCCTCCCCCACAGGTTCAGTGGTACCATGTCAACAAAAGGCCTTGTCGTTGCCACCTATCCATCAGGGTTCACAATCTGCACAGAAAATTTACTCTGGAAGCTTTGAGTAGTTCCACCTACTCCAGCTATCGCAGCTCCTGCAGTCACCGTGGACCAATTTGTCGACCAGTCCCGATGTGCTATAATAGTTACATCAGTTCCGGTGTCAATCATGCCCTTGATTCGCAAGCTCTTTGAACTTCCCTGTGTAAGTGTGAGCACACAGATTAGGGTCGGTCTATCAGCACTTATGAGTTTTGCCCAGAAAATTTGCAGAGCACCTGTGGACCCAAACCCCCCTGTATTTTGCACCTGGGAGTCTACCACGGGGACCTTTGCAACAAAAGATACCAGTTGTACAATTCTGCTTGCTTCTGGTATGATGATCGGCAGGGAGGGAGTCCACACCATGGCTTGGATTTGCCCTGTATAGTTGTCTCAGTTTAATTGAGACAAGGGTCTTTTGCTGAGGATGGATTAGGAGAAAAAGACCCAAACCTTCTTTTCTAGCAATTATAGATTCGAAATTAAGAGGCTCCGATTGAAGGAAAGCAAATTATGGAAAAGGGAAAAAGGAGAAATAACAGCCCTTTATTAAGTATGTGTGTATTAACGTAACACGAGGGAAAAAGGAAGGGAAAAAAAAAAAA